ATTAATATCTAAGGCATTAAATTTCAACGAGGAACGACTTTTAGGTTTCTCATTAAAGAAAAAAAAGTCTAAACGGTTTTTCTTCGAGCAATATCAGATGGTATAAATTTTATTTACTTCGAAGGGATATTCCATAAGGTATTTCCATACAGTAAGACAAGTAGTATTAACATATGTTGCTAATTTACTAAGTTTGTTATAAATCTTTTTCGGGACATGAATCGCACCAGGTTTGACAGTTATTGACTTACATATCGCAATCGTTTTGATATTCTGTATGAAGCGAGCAACTTCTTACCAAGTTCCGTTTTAGAAGACGTTGAATCGATCCATTGGTTTCTGTTCTTCGATGGCGCCGTTATGGTCAATTGTATTCTGTCAAGTATCACGGCGTAATTTATATGGTGCATACGTTCTAAATGAATCATTCACGCAATCTTATAATTCACAAGTCGCCGCGAGATGTTGTCATTTATTTATAATAGGATCGTTCAATTGAGAAGAAAAAAGAATGTGAAGGTTCGAGCGATGGTAAAGCGAAGTGCACGACAGAGGGCCGCATACACGACGATTGCTACAAGAAAGAAAGACGCGCACGAGCGCGCAGCTGAAAGCGACTCGTGGACCATCTGTGACTGCGCGGTTCTTCGTCACTTTTGGCACGCGAGCTGCCGTAACGTGTCGTCGAGATTCCAGTATTAAAAGCACAATTAGGCGGGCGCGCCCCGGCGAACCGGAGGCAGCCCGCGTATGTGCGCTGGACGCGCACGCGGAGCGCAGTAATTAACGCCGAGCACGCGAGGCAGGCGGAGTCGAGTTCCCGTTGCAGTCGCTCGCCGTCTTGGCGACACGTTTCGGGCCACGTGTATCTCACGCGATATGACAATTGCCCTTCGTCCCGATGTCTGCGCTCGTCGATACCACGACGCTGCTGCTTTATCGTGACCTCTCAACGTCGACACCGTTGGTCGCGGGCCGCGTGCTCGGAATCGCAGCCGTCGACGGACCCGGCGAACCGTTTGACCTAACGCAAAGACTGCCAACTTCCGAATCGCTTGGGTGAATCATCGTTCGCCGCCTAAAATTCCGAATGGTCAGCCAATCCTGCTGCGATAAGCCGATGAGAAATCGATCGGAATAAGTTTTCGGTGTCTGATATACTCGCGCGGCATAGAGCTATTCGAGTTTTGCATTCTCGCAAGTGGAGTTTGAACAAATGCCGAAGCGAGGAAATCGGCCGAAGAAGGGGGGCATTTATATTCGCAGCAAGAGGTTTGAAAAAATATCGAATAAATCCCGTTGCGAGAGAGAAAGAGAGAGAGAGCGGAATCAGAGTGCGCAGCAAGAGCAAGAAGAAGCACAGCAGCGGTAGAGCAAAAGAAAAACAGAGAGAGAGAGAGAGAGAGAGAGAGAGAGAGATCTTTGGTCCATAGCCGCGTTGGCGCATCGGCATTATTCTCCCGCAATCTGCGGCTGCTCGCTCTCTCTCTCTCTCTCTCTCTCTCTCTCTCTCTCTCTCTCTCTCTCTCTCTCTCTCGACTAGTCACTCACTGGAGGTTCTCGGCGCTGCAAGCGGTAAGCTGCGCACGTAGCTCCCGAAAGGTAAACTCGGGAAAGTCCGAGACGAGATATTTGTCAGTGGCGCCGCGCGAAGCCGCCCCTCCACGTATATCTGTAGCTCCATCTCTACGTCCGTCAGCTCGTGTCTATGTTCCGCGACGGCGCGCTATCTTTATCGTTGTGCCATTATGCCCGGGCATGCACGGCAGTGGACAAGTTGGACAGTCGAGAAGGAGCCGAGCCTTGATAGCGCGCGCACATGGAAGACGTCGTTTCCAGTTTCCCCCTCGCCAGCCTGCTTATTGAGTTACTTGTTTTTCCGGAGTGTGTATATATATATGTGTGTGTATGTGGCAATAACATGGAGCGCGCACTCCAAACGAATTGCCATTGATGTTTAAAAAGCTTTTGGATTTGTTCGGCTGCCTCCGGAGCAGTTTCTGATCTGAGTTTGACAAGCAGCGGCTGCGGGAGCTTTTATCCCGACCGAGCTTCCGCTTCTGCTTTCGCCCATTCGTGCTCCGATGCTTCTTCGTCGCGGAAAATCTTGTAATTACATTTGTGCCTCGCTGTATTTGTGTGCTCAGGGTGGAGACGCGCGAAACGGGTCACCCGATTCCCTGCGCCATATCAAATAACGTTAAATTTATTTGGGACATGAAAGGGAAATCGTAAATTAGTTTTGCACTTTGGCAAAAAAAAAATTCTAATTAAAACTTTTTCTCTCTCTTGCCTTGAAAACCTACTTTTACGCTCGAGCCTTCGGCAATAATGGAGAGCTGTAACTTTTTCACTGGAAAGGAATGACGCAGGTGTAAATATATCGACGAAACTGTGCTGCAGTTGCACTAATATATGTAATTAAATACTCTGCTGTTTCTTCGTTGATATTTTTCGTATTAATTTAACAAGACTGCGTTACTTATCTTTTTTATGTTGTCTTCAGATAAATACAGATGCAATGCCAATCAGGAAAAGAATTATTTTAGCAGTACATCATTTCAAATATGAATAGTAAATAATGCTTTATCTGTGAGCCTTTTCTGGTACATTAAATATTTGTTGAGTAGCAAAAAATCTGACGAATATTAAGTGTTGTATGGAACTGTTAAAAACATTACTTATTGAAAAAAAGAAATTGGCTAAAAGGATTTCTTGCTTGTCTATATAACAGGAATTAATGACTTTTGTAGTCTATTGATACAATTGTTATCATTATTGATTTTAAAATTCTTTACACTTCAATACTGCGTGTACTATAAAGAATACAAAGTACTTGTCACTGAGTGAAATAAAAAAAATTTTCTTTATGCGCAAAATATAAAAGCGTGAAAAAAGTATAAATGAAATTACGCCGTTGAAGACGAACAAAACCGAGTTATCGAGAGCCGTCTGTCCCGGGGATAGACTTTGTGTTTCCGAAAGCTCTAGCCATACGACAAAGTAGTCCGCCTGCGACTGGGGGGTGAGGCTATGCGGATGGGCTGAGAATCAAAAGCGGCCGGTCGTCTGTGCTAACTTAAACAGTAGCTAACAAGTAGCGGCAAGTAATAATTGAGTAAGTCGAGTGTGTTGTCGGACGAGAGAAAGAGCTGTGGTGGTGATCGCGGCGGCGGCGTCGCCGCCGCCTCACCTCCTCGTTAAGACCGTGACCAGAATTTCAAAACAGCCGAAGACGACGATGTCGACGACGACGACGAGGAACTGCCACTACAGTGTACAACGCGGCTGCTATATCTGTGCCCCGCGAGTATGCAGATTTATTTTGCTAAAGAATCAACGGAGCAGAGTTTAGTGTGCGCAAACAATGGGGAAAAGCTCTATTCCAGTCGATTATTTAAATATTGTAGTATTAACTTTTTCGCGCACAGAATCGACACGCACTGGCCAGTTGCCAGCTATATGCATACCTATCATTTAAGCGACTTTCTTCAAATTTGGTAGGCTTGTTCTGTATGTAACAAATACTTGAATCGATTTTCAGCTTAAAATAATAATTATTTCACAAATTATCAACTAATGAGAAATGATATATTTATTTAATTCGGTAATTCCGTTGCTGATCGAGATATCGAGATAGATGTATGTATGTATGTATGTCAATATGTTGATTTATTTATTAAGTGTTGACCTTCCATTCTATCCAAAAGAAAGAGTTGCTGATTGGCAATAAAGATTACAAAAACAAATCAAATGAATTTATTGCGAATACTCGTTGGTGCGTTACATTTCGAAAAGCCATTGAATCTTTTTCATGCAACCCCTATTTATAATTGAAAAATTATCATTCCACCACTTTCTTCGGCTCTTTGACAATACGGGATCATTGACAACACCTTCCGAGATTAAATAAGCTAGTCTACAATGAGTTACAAGGCAAAGCGACCCGCAGGAGCGCAGCGCTTACGTGTACCGCGCCAACGGCGGACGGAGTGCTTTGCCTTGGAAAGTCTACAAAATCCGATGCAATCAAAATTCAAATGTGAGAAAAAAGAAATAATTTTTGTATTAAAAAAGTTGGAAATTAAAAAATAAATAAGAATTTATTTCTTTTATCATTTTTATTTTTAAATACATTTTTTTTTCGCGTATTTTGAAAAAATTATTTCAAATATCTTAATTAACAACGAAGCTGTTGAAATTAAAAAAAAACATCAAATTTTTTCATTCATTAAGATCGTACGACATAATTAATGTTTTAGCCTCAGAATTAATACAACTGGATATATTTATTGCTTAATCACTTATGTGGTCGGTATAAACATGTCAAAATGGCTGAGAAATGGCCCATTTTGAGAAGTACTTTACTATTTACCTTATGCTTATATACATACGCTTTTCCCAATTAAAAAAGGGCATTTCATTTTGTCGTTTTATATACAATAATTATGTGCAATGTATTCTATCTTAAATATTATGACATTAATTTTCATAACTGTTATAAAACACCACTATGCAGTAAAAACAGCGTATAGTTAAGTCGAGTTTATGCAACTTATTGTCGCACTGTCATCAACATATTTACCAATATTAGCATTATTAATATAAAAGTAAAGATATAGTCTAGTATTGTCAAATACCCTATAAAAAACTAATATGTATTACATTTTTAGACAATGATTATGAACTTAAACGGTAAATCGTTCCAAACGATGTGTTGTTATACATCTTTAAATGTCACTCATTTGTTGGTTATAAATAGTTGAATCAAATAGAAAACGAAAATATTGCTAGGAAAAGATAAATTTATGACATGTATACTTAAACATTTCATTGAAATAAATTTTGAATGTATAAATTTGAATAACAAATCGTTCTGAGAAATTGGCGAACATGCCGATATGCGCGAGCGAGTCAAAGTGTTTCCGTCGACCGTCCTAGAAGTAGTGGCGCCACTTGTCCTTTTCGTAGACTACGCGAGTCAAACGGCTCGTAGCCGTATGGAAAAGCAGACGTCGGGATTCACAGAAGCACATACCGTTGGTTATTTGTCAAACTTCCCCGCGATATATACGTATAACACCTCGGCAACGGGAATAATAAACAACTCGACCCTGAAGCAACTCATGGAGGTGGATCAAGGCACTCCTTCAACGGGCTACTCCTGTAAGTTTTTTTTCCTCTCCTGACAAGCAATCTTGGCAAATTATTTTTTTTTGCTCGACGCGATTGCAAGCCATATTGGCTCGGGCCTTTTTCTCTTAGTGCAAAGGATTTTTTTCGGCTTCTTGCGCGATCGACCGAGCGTTTCGTCAACTGCTTTTAAACTGACTTGTACAAGCTTTGTTAAAGCAATGAACTGCGTTGATCGCGGCTTTCGTTTATTTATTTGTCATGAGCGAAGTGGGAAAAAATAAGCGAAGAGCTTGAGCCCCTCTCGCGACTTGTTTTTTTTCACCTGCGCCTTGTTGTGGCGTTGTCGAGCGTAAAAAATGTCGACAACTCGGATTCTTAGTAATTGCGCGATGAAAGTGCACCGATTCGTGAAAGTAGAGGTGCTTGTTAAATGCCTCGCTGCACATAATCGATATTTCTTTTCTTGAAAAATTTGGCCGAGCCAACTGATACCTTATTTTATCGCGAGGCTGCACACTGATTTTGTGACCTTTTTTTCTTTGTATCATGTATTTTGCGGCATCAAGCCGACGAAGGTATCGCTGGCGATTTGTTGATGCTCAATGGCGTCTCCGGCGAGGACGAACCATCAGGTAATACGAGTCGACTGTTATTTGATTTGAGTAATCAAATTTATATTTTAACTCTTGTTCAGTTATACCATTTTTTTCCGCAACTTCGAATGCAACTCTAAATTTATAGGAAAATAACGTTTTGGTCATATTTTAGAGAAGAAAATAGAGAAAAAAAGTTTGAATTAAAATTGACGATTTTCGAAATAGCTTTCAAAAATAATAAAAAATATTTTGCCAGTTCTACGGGACTAAGGGCTTGTACTTTTCTGCAAGAAAAACTAATCGCAAAAAAAAAATTTATGAACTAAAAACATAAAATAGGGGAATCATCACTCGACGCATCACAGGCGCTGGGAATAGCGTCGACAGAAGATGAGATTATTAGGTATTAAATATTGATTTCACCGAACGATCAAAGTTCTTTTGACAAGTGTTGCTAAAAATGATATGATTTATGCAGTGTTTACGAGGTTTTCGTCAAGGAAGGTTTAAATGAGCAGCAGCAATTGACAAAGAGAAAACCTGGTGTTTCGGTGATCTCTGCCCATCCAGCTGGCATTCTCACGAAGCGTCAAGTAATTTCAGTTTTTTTCATACAATTAGTTTATTCGATAATTATTACGACGATCGCGCGATCCTATATTTTTAACACGCCGATCGAGTAGGACGAGTGTGCGCTGGATTTGGATGATATCGACATTATCAGTGTGGACGGTGATGCCGCTGAGAATGACGAGGATGAGGTCGATGTCGCTGCTAAGGAAGTGATCGAGAGGGAGGAACTCGAGGTCATTGACTTCGATTCTCGACTTCTTTTACGGAATACGAAGTTTATTGATTTAATTACTACTTATTTCATATTTCGTTCATTGCAGTCAATTATAATTTTATCGATATAATGAGTTATTATTCATTGTACTTTTTGCAAATGAATACTCCATCGCTAATTCATTCATCGAATCCAGTAATAAATGTAATGTGTGATTTAATTTAACATTAAATTGCAATAATTAAATATAATTTTGATATGACTGCGGATTTTATTGTGAAATATTATCTATTAAAATCTCGGATAAAAATTTATCTTTTTTTAAACGAATACCTTTTTATTCAAGTATTATTTATTCTATTGCCTTCGCGTACACATATGTAATATTAAAAATATTACAGGATATATATGAACAAAATGTACAAACATTTACCAACTTTTTTATCGACATATTTATCAATAAAATCGTAGAAAAGTAGTTTAGTATATCAACTCGGGGAAAATTTTTGAAAAATGAATTATAAAACATTAGATAAACTTCCCGAAGTACAAAAATACAGAAATTGATAGTCAAATGAATACGACTCTAATTAAAAAGTTCTTTTCGTCGTGGTTGCGTGAGCTAGTTTGCGAAAGAGGATGGGTTGGAGAGGGGAAAGGAAGAGAGGGGAGGAAGATTGGCACGGGGGAGTAAAGCTGGAGTCGCGGATCCATTTGTCAATTTTTCATTATAAATGGCATTGCAGGCTCTCCAATCAGCAGCAAATGCGTCGGAGGAAAATATGGCGGCTACGGCGGTGAGCAACCAGTCTGGCGAGCGACCCTCACCCGTGTCAACGGGTGCTCAGCTAATTGATAAAGATGATCCTCGATCGAGGCTGCACTACGTCAAATACCTCAAGCGTGACGGCAAAACCTTGAAAATCTGGGAGTGTGGAATATGTGATTATTACACTTTTTTCATCTATCATTTATCTTTTTACTTTTTAATTTGACTCCTACTGTCTTAATTAACTTTGATGAATCTCAAACATGAAAACATGACAATTAAAACTTTGATGTTTTATGAACTGCTTTTACTAAAACTATACGCATCCTTCATTATATTTGGATAAATAAAATACCATGAATCATGATTTGTATTATCAATTTTACTATACCCTAATTTTGAATTTGAAATAATTTTTAAATTAGAGTGAGTTATAAATGTTATCAAGTAGAGCTTTTTGTCACTGCCGCAGGCTCAAAGGAATTCCGTCACCAGTACACGCTGATGCGCCACTTGCCGACGCACACGGACGAGCGCAACTTCAAGTGTGACGTGTGCGGTAAAGCATTTCGGCAACTCTCAACTCTCAGCCAGCACAAGGCAATTCACAGTGACGCTCGGCCCTACGTCTGCGATTTCTGCAAGAAGACCTTCAACAGGTTAATTATATGCGATTTCTCTCTTCTCTTCTCCGACGTTGGTAACTTTATACTTCTCGTTACGCGTTTCATTCTCAAAAGTTCGTCCAGAGCAAATAGAAGGAAAAATAAAGTAAAAACTACTGTTTTTTTTTTTACTCGGCAGAGTCTCGACTTTGATATCACATCGAAAGACTCACTCGGAGCACAAGCCGCACAAGTGCCACCTCTGCGGCAAGGGATTTCATCAGAAAGGTGAGCAGCGAGAGAGAAAGAGAGCAAATCTTAGTGCCGATGTAATAATTGTACTTTCATACACGCGCGCTCTTTCATACTTCTCCGGTTTAACTATTTAATTTTTTTTTGTCGACTATCGATTAGTAAAGCGAGCGAGTATAAGTCCGCAGATAAACAGGTGAGAATCACATATACGTTTTTCCTTACTTTTTAGTTTTTATTTTTTTTATGTGGGTTGATGGCGTGTTCAAGTAAGATTTTGTTGTGATTTTGCATGAATTTTTATGTACCAAAATGGTTTTGTTATTTATCATTTTAAATAATGCTTAGATATGGTGTATATAATAATACCACTAAATATAGAATGATTTTTGATGTTTGTTGTCTTGAATGATTTGAGATATGATGTATCTGCATTAGTATTAGTGTCATTCAACGAGAAAACTAAAATTTGGAAAGGTCTAGTTAATTCGTTTTTGATGTGTGGGTTAAGGGTGGTACAAAATAATCGATTTGATTATATAAAATCGTCTAAAATATTGTTATTATTATTTATAGTACTTCTACAAAGTTTGCAGTATTAAATAACATAACTTTAAAATTAACAAAGTGGAAAAGAAAATCACACATACATACACAGTCATGGTGAATCGCTAATTGAAATGCTTGCACTAATCGCTATAGCTTGAGCATCATGAATTTATAATCAAAACTGCAAGCTTACCCCAGTGCACGGCCATAATTGTCATAATTAACACACCCACACAAGCCTTTGGATTTACAAATGCATTAATGACCGTAGCATTTCACCGAGACACTTTCGCTTTTCCCACATAGGAAATTTACGCAACCACGTATTCACCCATACAAATGAGCGCCCATACAAGTGTGATATCTGTGGGAAAGGCTTCAATCAGATGTCAAATCTCGTTTGCCATAAGGTCAAGGCTCACGCTCATGCCGAAAAGATGCAGTACTCTTGTGGCATCTGTGGCAAGGAGTTCCCAAGGCGTTTCGCTCTACGCTCGCATGAGGAGTATAAGCACGGCATCAAGTATCGTCAGACCTCGAGCTCACAAACCACAGCTAACGAACTAAGGACTTCCAAGAGGTACCTGCCTACTATGCCTTTGTTTGAGAATCAAGATTATAAGTCATTTTAATATTTTTTTTAGGAAAAGCGTGCGAGTCGTCCAAGTTCCCGAGGATGATCCGCATGGTTCATTTTCAGATTCACGTGATAAAGATATGGATATGGTTATGTTTTTATTAGATTCTATCACCTTTGTTTATTTATTGTAATTATCAGTTGGATTATAATCTATGTTTTTTTTTCAGACAGAGTTTATGGAAAATATTATCATCGATAAAATCGAAACTAAAGCGATGGAAGCTGCTTTATTACAAGGACAGACGCCATTTGCACTATTCAAGCCTGCTAAGGGTATTCCCGTACTTGTCAAAGTTACACCGAGTGGAGATTTCAATCATGTAATGCTCTTGTAAACTAGATCTCACGGTGAATAATGTAAGAGTCTTAGATGTACTTACTATTACCGATACTATGAAATTTAGTTGCTGACGCCAGCCACAGCGGATGACTTGAAGATTTCGGAAAATATAGATTCCAACAATGCTCAACTCTCAGAAGATGGATCTAAATCTATACAGATCAAGGTTCCTGTTGTAGCTACTGTAACTGAAAAGCTCGAATCGGATGGAAAAATCTGCTTCTTGATTGAAGCTCCTGGTCCAGAACAAGAGCAAGGTAATGTCAATTTCGTAAAAAGTACAAATGAATCATTTACTTAAACGTAGCTTAGAAGCTGTTTTAATCAGTACTCTAATTTTCTCGACTCGATTAATGTTGACTATCAAACAAACAATTCTAAATTTTATGAAAATCATTTTTTTAAATTATAACGTTCATTATTCAATTATATTACTCATTTACATTATTAATTACATCATTCGACGTTATTTATTAGATTACTGAATTAGCGAGTGGATTACTCAGCTGAATTTATAATATAAAATAACCGTTTTACACTGTTATAGTCTATATGCTACGAAACATGAGGGCAAAACCAAGCTGGCATTCACCTTTGTCGATATTCGTACATATATTCCCTTTCCACCTTCCTTTAGACAATTTGTTAACGCCAGTCGATTCGGTCCCGGAGGTGCTGCCTTGCGAGGATGATCTCGACTATTCCCCACCTGAATCGTTCCCAAATCAAGAACAAAATATACCAGCATCAGTAGAGTCCGTAACCGAGCAACAACAGGAACCACTTCTCGAGTTGGCTGCAATGGGAGACATTCAACTATTTATGCGCCCAACAGAGAACGGTCGATACGAGCCTGTGGAAAGCAGCGAAGCACGATACTTGATTGCCCAAAAATCATGCGATGTCAAGTTTTACGGCGCCGAGGAAGCTGAAGCTATCGTCAATGGTGAACTTAACTATATTCCTACTGGTAGTTCAACAACAACGGCTGTGGAAGTCCTGCAAAATCAACAATCTCCAGAAATTGTTGTACCTGATTCCAATGGAATTATGGTACTCGATCCAAATAATGATCAGAAGGCTTTGACGCTTGGTGATTTGGAGATTCTTAATACAGATTTGAGGCAGATTCTTTTCAAATGCTCCGAGGAAAGGTTCGTGTCCGAGTCAGAACCATCTTACCTCACGCAGGCTAAAATTGACGAGATTCTCAATACAAAACCAATAACCACAGATGCTATAGCTAATGTAGATCAAAATAATTATACTGCAGGTAGGATGTTGTGGGGTTGATACATTTATTATTTCTAATTTTTAATTTATATATTATTTAAGATAACAATTATAATTTGTTATTTTTACTATTAATTCAGTTACAAGTTTGAATGAACTACCGAGTTATTCAACATATCCCAGTGAAATGCAAACCATTGCGACTTCATTATTGTGCAACAGACATCCACATCAGACATATCCGTACCCAATATCGGCACCTCAGCAGCCCATATCATATTCCAAAAATAATCCAGGATTTACAGACGAGGAGATAGGTGCTATTTTCGGGGAAGAATATCCATCTGCAATTGATTATTCAGTACTAACGGAAATAAATAATCGGCTGCGGGCACCCGATTTTGACGACGATTCGGATGGTTTTTTCCAATCGGGTGTTAAAGTTGTCGCACAAAGGAATCCTAATTCACAAATGTTTGAAAATGCAATGGAGAGGCAATATGAGCGCGTGACGAGTCCTATGAAACCACCTGATGTTTCATCTTTGGATTTGACAACACAACTCGATGATTTGAAATTCTTAAACACTTACGATCAACTTCTCAAGAGCTCGATGTGCGAATCAAGTCTTCCACCTTATAATTCGCTTGGTACTCCGTTGAGCTCATTTATTCCTGATGAGATAAAGAAAGATATTCCGTTTGAAGTCAAATATTTCCCGTCGGAAGATTTTGAAAACAAAGAAAATAATAACAAGCAAATGAACGTAAATATTTTATAGTTTATTTTTAATGGAAGAGCAGTATTTTTCCAACAGTTATAATTTTCATTATTTTTCAGTTCAAGAGTTTTGATCATTTAACTCCGGATGGATCATTCGGACAGAATGGCAGTGCAATAGTCAACGCTTTATCGAGTGTTGAGAACTTGTTAGAAAGAGAACAAGATAAACTGAAAATGGACGCGGGGAACTTTTTACAAGTAAACAAAATTGAAAACGAGGATTGGGCGTTCGAATTCAGTTCTCTGTTTTTTACATAGGCTTGCAGTCCCTGTGGTCCAGCTGATTTTCTTTACTTTGAAAATCGCTTCACCGACAGAGATGTTGCGAGTAGTCCCTCTTGCTCATTAGAGCGCTTTCCACAAGAGAAAGAAATAGCTACAGGTTCGTTACCAGATTTGGATTGTTGAAACGAAGATCTTACGAGATTATTGTTGAATCTTGGTCATATAATTTAGTGCGAATGATACAAATCGCCTGGTTTTTATTGCGTAAATAGCTCGAGGTTGGATAGAATACGTAAAAATTTTTACACATTGTATTTAATTATATCTATTTTTATTGATTCGGACATTTATTATGTAAGTTATTAGTCTATAATATGATTTTTGTCGAGAATTGTGCATGCGCCACGTTGGAGCTGATTTTAGAGAACATGTTGATACTTATTTATTATTTTGCATGATGAAAATTACAGATAAACTTTATTAAATTTGATTAACGTACCAGGACTATTAATCACTGATTATGTGGCCTGACATAATTTTTTTTATTGAAAAATCTAACTTGAATGATTTATAAGTATACACTTGACTACATACTATTAATTAAATTAAATAACTTTTTAATTTAATGAAATTGAGCTTACCTAGATGAAAATAATAAAATTAGTATATGACAATCTTTTTTACGAATCATTTACGTGCTTTGTGATTCGCGCCTTACAATTAATTATAGGCTATTTATTAATTGTTTTCTTAAGTATTCATGAAAGATTTTTTAATTATAGTTTTAAGAATTTTGAAAGTCTAAATTACCATGTACTCATGCTCAAATGTAGATGTCGATTTTAATATGTCGACTTTTGTTGTTACCGATACACGAATCCTTAAATAAAAATTTAAGAAACGTTTATTATCTAGAAGTGGACATCAACTTTTTTTTCGCATTTTGTAGTGTAATCATTTAAATTAAATTTCATTTATGAAGTTAAGATACCGATGTTATAGCGTTCAAGTTTTGCGAATTTATTTATTTTGGAATTATACTTGAAGTTGATATTGTTTAAAATATAATTTTAGTATTTATACGTATATATAGCTTTCAATAAGCCAAATAAATCCAACGGAAGCTCCACCTCGAAAACAAAAAAGTTTTCCGGTTTGATAAGAAGAGAACCAGGAGGTGGGTTAATATTGTCGGAGCAAAAGAAAATTATTAAATTAGTATCGATTCCATTGAGAAAGG